CACCAGGGGAGTCGGCCTGCTGGGGCAGCCCCCGGAGCCCTCAGAAAACAGGAAATTCCAGCCCAGGGCTCCTCCTCGGATTGGGGCAAGTAGGTGAGGAGCCGTCATTACCAGCAGGGCCAAATAAATAACAGTCCTCAGCAAGCCACACACCGAGCCCTGTTTTGGACAGAAGTGGGCATTTGCTCTTTCTCTGAAGCACCAAACAGGCGATACACCACGGGGCCCAGAATGATGAAAAGCTTCAGGGAGCAGTCAGGAGGCAAGTCATAGGCCCTCGCTGGCCCTCAGCCTCCTTATCTGTAAAATGGGAGGCCTGACTGGGGTCATCCTTAGTTTGGGGCCAAGACATTCTGAGGTTGGGAAACTCCAGAATCAGAGTTGCTGGCTCTTCTGTTAGTGGCTGAGGTGATCTTCTCCCTCGGAGACTAGAACATTGTCTAGACTGGGTTAAGTGTCCCGCCTAAGGGCAGCAGAAAGTCAACGGGTAAAACCTTCGGGCCCGGGCCACACAGTTCTGGACGAAGCGACTCATTTCTGGTCTGAGGTCTCCAGTGTCCTGCTTGCTGGGTCGCACCTCCTGCTCAGAGGCTGTGCAGAGGCTGGCCTGCCGAGGTGAAGTGCTCGCCCTCAATACTGGCTGGGGCCTGATGCTCACTCCCTCGGCGCTCCGATTCCTGTCCGCGCGTGTGGGCTGCACCAGAGACTCATTGAGTGCATCGCTCACCCAGGGGCAGGGGGCTGGCCCGCTGTGCTTTCCAGTGCATTTTAAACATCAGGCCCCAGCCATGAGCTGGTTTACCAGAATCCACAAGGACCATGAGCAAGCAGAGAAACCAGCTTAGGCAGCGACAAGGATGAGGGGGGGCCCCGCACGCGCTTTAAAAGAATACTCCCAAGTTTCCTCCACCCCCCCGTCCGGCCCAACTGCCAACGTCCCTCTCAGCCTCAGAATTCCGAGTTCCTGGTTAGAAGCAAAGTGGCACATTCCTGAGGGGGCTGGGGTGGGGGAATGCCTAAGGAAGGCAGAGCCTCTCCGCCTAGGTGCTCCCGAAGAACCCAGAGCTGGAAACTCTCAAGTCCCGGGCTGGATCTCCCAGGGCTGGAGAGCCCCGGGGGTGATTGCCTATTTTCCTGGGACTAGTTATTAACAGTGATGGGGATGGCTTCTTCCTCTCCGGGATGCATAGCCCCCAGATAATAGATGGTTCCACAGAGGAACCTTCCCCAGGATCCTTCAGGCATGGAGACAGGAACACGGCCCTGGAACCCTGACTCGCTTTTCCACATTTAAGTCTCCCACACTCAACTTCCCTATCTGCCTATCTGTCTGTCTGCCCTCCCTCTCACATACACCCGGGGAGTTACCCCTCCCCAGAAGACCAAAGCTGCTTATCACCAACCGTCCCCCCCAAGCCAGTGAAATTGCAAACACCAGACAGCGGCTATGCCTGGGGACTGAGAAGGGACAGGGCTGCTGTAGAACCCCACTGGCTGTCTCCGTGGGAGAGGAGCAGGACAGCATAAAGGGGTAGAGGCCCCCAGACACACACACACGCATACGTGCTGTGGGGACGCAGGCAGCAGTGGCTTCCCCGAGAAGGGAAAGAACATCTTATATTCTCGGAGGACGCACCAACTCCTGGCTCCCACGGCACCTGCAGAATCCAGTCCAAGCAAAATGCTCAGCCTGCGTCAGTTCCCAAACCTGCAACAGCGTCCTCATCCTCACCTGGCTGCCTCTTTCCTATCCCCCCTTCCCGGACCCAGAGAAGGACACCTGCCTACACATAAATACTGCTGGGACACCAAGCCAGCCGAAGATCTCAGGAACGAGAACAGCACGGACACATACCTCCCTTTCTCATTGGCGTCAGCCCCTGGTCAAGACGAAGTCTGTGTTCTGCCTGACAAGATTCTGCTCCAAAGAGATGTGGCAAACACAGCCCCGAAGACCTGAGGCCCCTCCTAAAAAGCTTCAAGCTGGGGTCACAGGAAGAGCACTGAAATCCTGCGACGCTGGCCCTCCTGAGTTCGCAGAGTCCTAAGGTCATCAGAAACACCAGGCTAACTCTTGCTGAGGGGTGAGACCGTCCGTGGCAATTTCTGGGGGAATTAAAGACAATTTCGCAGGATGCCTGGATGCCTGCGGTGTGCACTCGGGGAGCAGGGGGGTGGGGTGGGGGAGAGAATGGATACACTTTACCTGGAAGCAGACAGTACGGAAAACAAGCGGGGAAATCAGAAGGACAAAGAGCCGACTCTACATGTATCCACAGCTGGGTGGGCTGGACCCACTAGGCAAACCGGCCTGGGCCTGCGACATTACGAACCCCGGGGAGCCGGGGTTTGGAAAGAGAAAGACCCCTGCGACGGCGTGACCTGGGAGGCACTGCTCAGAAACCGAACACTGGTGTGAGGAAAGGGCAGCCTCCAGCCTGAGAATCCCACACAACCTTGGACCTAGTCTCCGCTCAAATATTTGCTAGGGGTGACCCACTGATAAGTAGGCAGCTGTGCCCGGCTGAGGCCACCCCAGCCAGAGAGAGTCTGAGGACGTCCTTCTCAGAGAGGAGGAAGGGCTAGCTCTCTGCTCAAAGCCAAAGGGTGCACGTGAGTGGAGGAAGTGATCTGGGCTCCTTCCGGCGGCCGGAGGGGTCCGAGAGTCACCCTGGTGTCTCCAACATCGGCCACGCTCTTCTCGTCCACAAGGTGGCAGCAAAACATCTTCCTGCAGCTTGGGCGCCGCAGAGAAGGGAGGCCCCAGGAAGGTGGGAGCAAGGCCGCAGGAGGACAGCGGCGAGGGCCACACCCAGAGCTGCGGCGGCTGGATGGTCTCTAGCAAGCTCTGTCCCCTCTGAGCGGGC